TCCCTTCCGACCCTTAATCTATGAATCTATGAATCTGTGGCTTAGTTCCCATCATGGGGTCTCTCTCAGGCTACGGTTGGAAGATCTTTGTAGGAAGTGGCATACATGCCCTGGCGTGGCAAATTCCACTCAGACAGGTACTGTGACATGTGCACAACACACCAAGGAGGAGGCAGGACTTAATTTTATGCTTACCAGTAGATAACACTGCTACAAAGATTGCTGCATAGGATGAGTTGTCAGGTGCTGCCAATATACTGTCAAATAACAGCAGAGCCTGAAAGACCCTCAGCTGGTGTTAAAGGGGCATTGCTTTGCTGACTGATGGAGCCACCTGGCCTTACCATGGATGAGCACTTGTTTCCTATGTGGCAAGGGCTGTGCCATTAATTCTTGCCACCATCTGCCCAATCAGTTGCTCGTGCAGCTGTTTATTTTGTTTGCTATTAGCAGAGATAGCCCAGATGCACCTGCAGGGACCTACCTGGGGCCAGTCTTCCTAGAAATGGAACACAGTTGCAACTAAGCCCCAAGGGGAACATGAGGTTCAGTGAGCTCATAGGCAAACCGAGCTTCAGAAGGAAAAAAAAAAAAAAAATCAACAGGACAAGGAGCCCTAAGTAATGGGCAGGTGAATGGAGCGATGGCATACCAGGCTTATGTCCCAGCAGAAGAAAAAGGAAGACAGCTGCCAGCCAGAACAAGATCCAGGTTGCAGGGTGTCAGCCACATGCCAGGCAAATAATGAGTCCACAGGTGGCAGTGGGGAGATCTGAGCAGCCTGTCTCATTATCTCCACACTGACCTTCAGCACTGCCAGGACCCTGCCGAGAGCTTTCTACCAGCTAAGTGAAATATGAGCTTATTAACACATCTCACTTAGAACAAGAGGCTCCTGGGAAACCTTCCCAGCCTGTCTTCTTGCACTTTTGCTCTGAGAAAGCCCACTGAGTTCAAAAGTGTCAGATATCAATGGGGTGGGAGTTTGTTTTCTCAGTCCCCAGTTTATAAGGGGCTGCAGTGGTTAGTGACTTTTCTGTGCAATAGTCCACGATCCCCTTCTGCTCTCTGGGAAACGCATAATCCATGTTTTAGCTGCTTTACCTCCACTCACAAAGCAAATAGGGGCTGGAATAAAATTTCCCAATGCATGAAGGAGCTGCAAAGAGGCCAGGTACTTGTCACCGGATTTTAGATAGAAGCCTACTGTTCTGCAACTGTCTGTTTCTTGTGGAATAGCCACCATCTTGGCCAACACCAGGCACTGAGTTAGGGACATGCAGAACCACATGCATAAGCCTGTGCAGCTTAAACTGTGTCAACCTCTCAGCCTTTGTCCCTCACCCATAACACCAAAGGGGTGACATACTTCATCCTGACAGAACATCTTATTATATGAAATAGAAGCCCACAGCAAGACAGATCCCAGATAGTCCTCCAATTTATGGACAACTGCTGTTTTTAACAAAACCAAGTTGTGGATCAAAAATCTCCAGAAGTGAAAGCACATCTCTTCAATTTGAGCTGTAAATCCACATGCTCTTGGGCTTGGGCATAGAGAGGAGTGGTTGGGGGCAGGACACGGGACACACCCGACCAGTGGGATCCAACTGGCATCGGTCCAATTCTCAGCAGGGTAAATCAGCTGTAAGGAGAATCATGCTGCAGTGTCACAATGACATCCAGAACCTGAGTTAGCTCTTTTGAAGCTAGCTCTGCGATCTCTGCACTGCACTGGAATCTGCAGTGCAGACATACCCTGGGCTGGGCTGTAGATACCTCTCCTTCCTGGTTTAAGTTAAACCGGAGTCCCTCAGCATCCCAGATGTTTTGCAGCCCTGGGCTGGGCTGTCTGCTCCAGAGACCTGGGCTGGCCCTGCCCCTCTGCTCCCTGACTGGAGCTCTGGTGGAGACTGCAGGCACAACAGGGTCTGCCTGGCTTCCCCCTGCCCCCTCCCCATGCTGCTCAAGCAGGGATCCCCCCCTCCCTCCCATCTCCCACAGCATAGACTGCAGCCCTACGGACCATAGGCATGTGGTATACTAGCTAATGCTGAGCGGGGGGTGCGTGTGTGTGCATGCATCTCCAATTTCACTGGGACAGGCAGACAGAGCAGTAGCCACTTAGGACTTTTTGGTCACCTGGTAATGTCGCTCCATTCCTTTCTTGGAAAAAGCTGTTTAAGAAGAGCTTGAACTAATGAGAGAGGCTTTTGTTTTGTTGATGGGGTGATAAACGCTGTGCTATCCCCCACTGCTGGCTTTCTTGCCTGTCAGGTTTGCAGACAGCATGAAGAAGCAGAGAGAGGGAGATTGTATCATCAACAGATGCATGCACTGCACACTGCCCCTTTGCCTCAGAGTGCTAGCCCGGAGCTGGGGTCTGGCAACACTCCTGCCCCTTGAGCAGCGAGCCAGGAAAAAGCCTGAGACTGTGCAGGCTGGTTGGGTTTACACCCCTCCCTAATCAGAGTGTCCTGCCTAGGCCTGGCCACCCCACTTCCCCTCAGCTCAGCACTATGAAAAGGGAAGGGAGGGCTGCTCTAGCACCCTCCCAGCTTCTAGCCTGAGCCACTGCAGGCATGTGCCCGCATTTCCTCAGTCCAGAGGAAATGTCTGTACAGTTGCAAACCAGCTCAACCTAGGCAGGTTAGACTAAGCTGCAAAGATTGAATTAATTCCGGCTCAGGCATTTCAAATATCTGTCCCTAGCCCTATAGGAACTAGAGCAAAACCCACAAACTTCCTTCATATAGGGGATACATCTATATAGTGTCCAGGATGAGCCCAGGAACACTGCCAAGAAACATGCCTCTCCACAGTGACCAACTTCCAGGGAACAAAATCCAGGACATAGTTCCAGAGGCTCCACAGACAGGAATGAGCAGCTGTGCAATTGATGGGTAGAAGTCAGTTTTGGGGGCCCCATGAAACTACATGGTTACAAGTGGTGGTCCTGATCATGAAGCTGTCTGATCTGAATATCCCCTTTCAGGAAGTTCTTAGGGATATCAAAACATGACCCTGAAATTTAGGACTGTCC